ATCTGCAGGGGTTTGAAGTTTTCTTTACCTCAGAACGTTTCACCCATTGACCTTCAAGCCAGCTTTGAGAGGACGTATTGGAAAATAGAGCCATTATTGGAAGAAAATGATAAGGAGCTGCCGGCTAGCTCAACGCTACGCTCAGCGTATTCAGCGTACCAGCCCCAATCCCCCCATCCACCCAAGACTCTCGTTAAAACCCTGAATGGTTTAAAGAAACGCGACGACATCGTTATTACCAAACCAGATAAAGGCTCGAGAGTCGTTGTGATGGATAAAACTGAGTATATTCCCCCTTTAAGGGCTGCCTCAGTTGGCAACACTTCCAAATTTAATCCCCTTGATAACAGGTTACCTAAAACTCGTGGGAGACCACCTAAACACTTCCACCCGCTTCTTCAGAAAAAGAAAGAGTTGCGCACAACGCTACATGAAATATTGCCTTAGGAAATTGCAAATACACTCTCTCCAAAAAGTTCCAGGATTGCACATCTCTACGGCCTTCCTAAGACTCACAAAGCCACGTTAAGTATGAGGCCTATTTTATACGCTACCGGAACGTATAATTACAAGCTCGCCAAGTGGCTTGAACGAAAGCTGAAACTACTTTCCATAAACGAGTACACGATTATCGATGCCTTTGATTTTGCTGATGAACTTCGTAACCTTTCTGTTAATGAAGATGATACACTGGTCTCCTATGACGTTACAGCTCTCTTCACCAATGTGCCGTTGGATGAGACTATCAACATCTTGGTCAACAAAGCCTTCACGGATGATTGGTTTAACAAAACCTATGGTCTTAACCTGCAACAAGATCAGCTTGTTAAGTTACTTGAAATTGCCACAACCAATCAACTTTTTCAGTTCGATGGTCAGTTGTACGAACAAACAGACGGAGTGGCTATGGGCTCCCCCCCTTGGCCCCCTTTTGGCGAACGTCTTCATGTGCCACCACGAACAGAAACTCAAACGCGATGGCTTGATGCCTCATCTGTACAGAAGATACGTTGATGATCCTCTTGCAAGAATGCTTAACAATGATGCTGCCAATATGTTTCTTACCGTCCTGAATGGCCTAAATGTACGTCCCAGTCTAACGTTCACGATGGAGCTCCCTGTAGATGATAGATTCCCTTTCATTAGTATTGAAATCATCAAGAATGGAAAGAAACTCGAAACTCAAGTCTACGGATAGTCAACCAATGCTGGCTTGGTCTTGCATTTTCATAGTCATACTGATAAATGCTATAAAGACTCTTTATTAAAGACAATGCTACATCGCGTTTATGCTCTATTCTCCACAACAAAGACTTTTAATGAAGAATGCACCAAATTGCGCTCCATGTTTAGCCGTCTTGATTACCCGTGGAGTCTTATAGATTCTGTTATTTGCGATTTTGATTTTCGAAACCCTTCAGTAAGCATAGTAGAGAGAAATACTGACGAGGGCAACATAGTCAGAATTAGCGAGTCTACCTTTCAAAGATCAAGTTTCTGCTAATGCCGTTCGGAGGCAGTTGCGTGATCTTACATTTTCTCGTGATCTTAGTCATAAGATTGGCCCCACTTTGCGGCCAGTTTTTTTTAGGCAGGAAATTAGAACAAGATCTTAAACCTGAAGAAGCTAAGCAAAAGTCAGTATGTGATCTGTGCGATGCAGATTATGTCGGTTTCACAGCCCGACACCTTTTTCAACGTGTTGCTGAACACAAAAATTCGGAAATCGGCAAACATTTTCACGAAGCGCACGGTAGGAGCGATCTTTTGAATGACTGCCATTTTAAGATTCTGAGAAATCTGTTAAATTAGATTG